CAACTACCTCCACCATGTGCAAACGGTTAGGTAAAAGTGCTATTGCATTGCTCTCTGTCTCATCAAAAGAAGTGCCTGGTGTTTTAAATGCCACCACAAAGGTAAGGCGGGAGGGACTCATTACCTGTTAGACGGTTGGATGTGTGCGAGGTGGAGATCACCACACTCTCATGCGATTGTCAGTGTGCATTCGAAATGTTCGCTTAAGGCAAAATTGGGTAGTTCTAACCGACTGCCTGCTTCTGCCCTTATAGGCCGGTAGTAAGGAAAACAATTTAAATCAAATCCAATAAAGTTAAAATAATGACATTCGTTCTATGTGGCGTGCAAATGTTCCCTGGTAATCTTAGAAACTTTTGCTTTTTTCAACACAAAGTTGCAATCGATCACACTTTTTGCAAAAACGAGGTATACACTTAGTAACTCCATTCTTTTAGTACTGGTTGAAGGCTGCGAACGGATTTACAGATTTATTGGTGTTTCACTTTCTGTTGGAAGGCGAAAAGAGACAACGAGTGATACGCAATCTCAGTACGCTGAACTTTTGCATCGCATGGAAGACGGGAAAAATTATGACATTCTTCGGCCTCCACATATGATCTATCGAAAGTTGGCCAGCCAGATGTCTGTGATTTCCTCAGGAGGTGGGCTACCCTCTTTTCTTGCCGAATACTTTGCTCAATTGGTTGAAAATCAGCTCATCATTGCGTGCTCCGAAGTTTTACTCGAAGTCTGCAGTGGTCGCAGTACAATCGAGTCTCTCGCCTTTCACGTAAATCAATTTCTTGAGGCGTTTGCAACCACCTGCTTCCACATCAAACGAATTATACGCAACCGTTTGGGTGAAGACGAAGTCACACAGATCCTTACGCGTATCGTCAAGGGGGACGGAGATGAAGTGTATCGTCTTGAAGGGCTATTGGAGCCAAATCTGGCACGATTCCTCATCAGTGTACTTCGCACTCTGTATGGGAGGGTGGTGAGGGCAATTTTAGTTTACGCGTTGGTTTCCAGCAGCTCAGAAGAACTGGACTCCCTCCTGCAAGAAATTCTTAGCCTCAATGAACCATTAATCTCGAAGCCGCTCATTGAGGCGTGGATCACGCTGACCGATCTCATCTTTCTTTTGGCAGAAGACTTACGCATTGATGAAAACATCGACAACATTCAGAGTATCTTGAGACAAACCAAGTTTTTCATTGAAGCAGGCTGCAAAGGCGTTATCACTATTCCGTCAGCCCCCTCCCATTCAGATCAACAAAAGCGGCTAGTGAAAGGTGGTCTCAAGCCTATTAGAACTCGCACGTCATCAGTCTCTGCATCTTCAAAAAGTTCGATTAAATCGGCACTAACTGGAGGTCAAACTAAGTCTCCTGCACAGAAGTTAAATCCTAGGCAGAAACCTTCCATTCGGGACTTCCGTTTTATGTTAAACCGCATGTCACGAGTGCCTGCCATACGAAGCAACTCGGATGAGAGCTTGCAGAAGGACTTTTTGAATCGCGAGTCCGAATTCTTTTCAGCACAGCGAGGGGCTACGAATATGGACATAAAGGCGGAATCAGAGTCGGAAAATGATTCAGATGACAGTTTTGCGTTCTCTTCTATAACTGGTATCTTCAGTCGTGGAAAATATAAGTTGGCTGAAATTGAGTCGCCAGCTGAGTTGCTAACAAAGCAAATCAAGATAGCTAACCGTGAAGTCCCGACGCAAAATTTTATTGAGCCGGAGCAAATGGAGTTGGTGGAGGATAGTTGGAGAATCTTGGCTGAACTTCAAGGTGAGCAGTTCACCGTAAATTTTCTCATATTGCAATTCCTTGTAGTGATGTGTTCCAAGCTACAAGGACAGGCGGCTTTGTCATGCTCCTAAACAATGCCTTGAGTCGATCATAGATCATTCATATGTTTGTCTTTATTGCAGCCAACCGTTTGTTACTTTTCAAGCCTTCTCAAATTTATGAAACTTACATTGCACATTGAACCGATTGGTATATTTATTGCGACCTACATCGAACCAATAATTTTTCCCTCATAAAACTCTGATTACCACCATGGTTTTGTTCAAACACTTTCCTTAGTGGAAGAATGTTTTGGTTCGAATAAATTCCCTTTTGTAATAGGCTAAAGATACAAGTGTAGCCCTCTTTTTGCTCTCTCTCCCAACCTGCATGTTCCTTCCCTCAGGTATACAGAAGCTAATTGGCTCAAAGGATTGGGTGAGTGAAAGTAAATGCTACAGAATGAGCTAAATAATTGATAAGGACCAGTTAGGCATTTGTACCTTTGTAGGATGACAAGGTAGCTACTGCTCTGTCCAAGGATCTCTACTGCTCGGTAAGAT